CAGCAACAGTTGAAGGAGACCCGTCAGCAGCTGTCTCAGAATCAGGGGTCACTGGCCGGAGCGGGGCCCAGCAGGACTTCACCCACTGCTTCCAGCTCGTCCGTTGAACCGTCCGCCCAGCCCGAGCAGGCCAGTGCACCCTCTGAGCCAATGGGCAAAGACTACGGGAGGGTCTCCAATGGACCAAGCAATGGCAACTCATCACAGAGGAGCGAGACCACTACACCCAGTCTGTACCGGGAGGTCAGCAGCACAGAGGAAGACTTTCCCATGTCCCCCATGGTCTCCAGCCCCGGCGAAGCGGAGACCAAACTGTCCAACCACTCGGAGGAGGCGTCAGGGAGTCAGACCGCTGCTGGGAGAGTTGGAGGACCTGTGGGTTTCGGGAGCCAGCTGAGCGCAGGGTATGAGAGCGTGGATTCTCCGACGGGCAGCGAGACGTCATTGACTCAGCACTCGAATGACACAGACTCCACCACCGACCCCCACGAGGACAAGGCTGCCCTGGTGACCAAGGGCACCAGGACTGCAGGGTCACGGCACACTCAGAACGGCCTGGACTCCAGCACGAGCGACAGTGCGGTTTTGTAATGTACTTTGACATGTACTGTCTTTTCTTTTTTTTATACAATATACAAACAAGGCAACAAATTGCATAGTCTGTAACACAGCACTGCTGTCCAAGACATTTTGTTTTCACCTTCCTCCCCTTGCCTATCGTGATGCCTCTGTCAGATTTGTGTTGCTAAACAGGGATATAACAGGTATGGGTTAATGTTAGATTTGAATTGAGTGGATGTATGATTTAAAACTAGTACCTTTTCATTCTGCTGTTTATTTGAGCACGTCTATGCTGTTCTTGTTTGAGCTCTTGACACTGAAACAGGCATCTGGTGTTGTAACTCATCGTCAAAAGTCAGTAAAATCACTGAATTACAGTAGCTTCGCAATATTCAAGGTCATTTTTAGATGTTGGCCTGTTTTTTTGTTTTTTTTAATGCAATTTTAATTTTTCATTGACAAAAAATTCTGTTCAAAAGATTATGTTAAATTGTGAGTAGTTTATATGCGATGTTCATATTATTCTGACTTCAGTCCTTTTCATGTACTGACCAAATACCAATAAAGATTTTTAATACTACCGAGTGACACCCATTATTACTACACAACAATAAATATGGGGGGTTCGAATCCGACCTGCAGCCCTTTGCTGCGTGTCATCCCCTCTCTCTGCCCCCCTTTCCTGTCTGTCTCCAGCTGTCCTATTTGGCATAAAAAGCCAAAAAAATATACTTTAGAAAAAAGCGGGGTCCCAATTAAAGGCAGGTCCCCTCTACCAGCCAGAGGTGGCTACATGTTTTGACAAATAATAGCGGGTCTCAATTAGAGGCCTGATTCTTTGGGTGTATAAAACCTCCTAAAACCCACTGGGTTGCCTGCTTGAGTAAGTTCTAAGCTTCTGAAATCACCATCACAAATATTTTATCAATATGGACATGCTACACGTGGTTATCAGTTAGATTCACCACAATTCAGTTGTTCATTTTATGAAAACCATGAGCAGTAAAGTATCAAATGTTAAATGAGTGATTTGAAATTGATATTATTTGCTAGCCTAATTTTTTGTAATATTCATGCTGGTTGAAATAAACAATTTGATAAAATATACCGTCTTTGCTTAACAAGAGTTTTGTGCAAAACAAATGAAAGGTCTGTCTCTTATAGAGGCCTGACCAAAATAAAGGGTTCAGTAAGTTCAGTGATTAGAGCAAATAATAGCCTAGGCTATTAATTGAAGTTTTACGGTAGTTTCATTCTGTGTGTTCAGTTGACCAAATCATTTACAGTATGTGATTCACAGTCTCTTATTTGGTTTAATGGTCTCTCTCTCTCTTCCCTCCTAGGAAATCGGAATCAAAATTGTGACCAACTCTGATGTGAAAAAACCTTATAACTGCCATGAAAGGAACTATGATTTAATTTACTATGATGCTGGTATGTTTTATGGTTTGCCACTGATACTGTTCATTGACTCCACTGTCCATTGATATTAACTCTAGAAGACAAGACGCTACCATTACACCGTAAACTTTATGTAGCAGTGCCAATTTTACGAGTGGCAAAATACAGTTCTAAGACTTCGAGCACAAGGGGGTCCAATTGGAATGACCAAGGACACTATTAGAACATACTTCTCTGACACCTGGATCTGGGAGCTGATTTCTGTTGGGTAAGTTTAGTTGTGTAATTAATTGTGTAAATTATTATGCTTTTTATCTATGTTTTCTTAGAATCCTTTGACTCTCCGGTTCCCATGGCCTTCAACATGATGCCTCAAAGTTCAGGTGCGCTGGGAGGTAAAGAGGAGGAGAAGAAGGAGACCGTCAGGACATTCTTTCCTGAGACCTGGATCTGGGACCTAGTTACTGTGGGGTAATAATGACATATCCTGTGAAAAGGATCAACCAATTACATTTACTTTCAACACTGAGTATGGCAAAGGTCAAAATGAGATCATTTTTACTCGTGAGATCGTTGATCCCTTCAAATTCTGATTTGGGCCACTTACAGTTGTGGGTAGTCCATGACATTCTGAAATTTTGGATGAAATCTGTTAATGTGTGTTAATTAACGCATCGCTCTCTCATGTTCTTGCTGGGAGGAGCTAAGACGCGAGGAAAGTATAATGAAAAGCCCCCAAAATCCCCAGAGGACAGAGCTTTCCTCTTGCGCCCCACCCAGAGCCCAAAAACACAAGATACCTTATCATGTATTAACGCAGATTGCATGCATATTCATGTTTTCACCCACATTACACCCACTATGATTAACTCTATGCTGCTTGAAGTTTTTTCAGTTTGACTCTCGCTCTGTATGTCTGTACAGAGACAGCGGGTCAGTGAATGTGGAGAAGACAGTCCCCGACACCATCACGAAGTGGGCAGCTGGAGCTTTTTGCGTGTCCTCCGTGGGCTTCGGCGTGTCTCCCAACATTGGACTGACCGCCTTCCAGCCATTCTTTGTCAGCCTCACCTTGCCCTACTCTGTCATCCGAGGGGAGGTGTTCACACTCAAAGCCACTGTCTTCAACTATCTCTCCAAATGCATTATGGTACATTTTTAAGGTCTTACAGATGGGATTTATTTAAATGGATTCACCAGTGTGATGTCTGTGGGTAGCATTCCTTTGACTCACACTAGGCTGGCTTGTTCTAATGAAATTATATGAAGCAGAATTCATTTTTTGAAAAAAAAAATTTTCTTTGCATTTGTTTGCAAATTTGTGTTGTTTCTGTCTGCAGGTGAAGATTACATTGGCTGATTCAGACCAGTACACCTTCAGAGACTGTGAAGGCTGCCAGTACAGTGTGTGCCTGTGTGGGGAGGAGAGCAGGACCTTCTCGTGGATTGTAACTCCAACCGCCCTAGGTATTAAATTTCCTCTTACATCTTTTTTTTCTGTTTTGTACATGACACATTGGGCCTCATGCAGCAGCATTAATATATTAATAGATATGTTAAGAAGCTAAAAACATGCAATATCCTCAAAGGGTTTTTATAGTTTTAATAGTGATCAATGGAGCAATAGTATTTCTTTAGCTAACACATTTAATAATCCAATTGCTACAATTGCTCTAAAACATATAATTTCATCTCATTATATAATTATATTATATATTTTTTGCAGTTTTTTTATGCTTAAATTTAAAACTTTTCCTCTCATTAGACAAACAGTTTGTGGACTGTGAAAGCAAGATTATTTTTTTCTGGTAGTAGTGCTCGTAAAATGTTCTCTTACCTAAGAGAAGAGCAGAAATTAGAATACGAATCCCAGAAATAAATGGGTACTAACAAAATAATAACAAATCATTGATAAGAACAAAAATAAGAGAATAGATTTGTTGTTGAAAATTGTTTCTTGCATGAGGCCTGCTGTAAGATTACATACTGTGTGGTCTGTGGAAAGAGCTTAAGTCTTTTGTTATATAATTGTGACTTTGCAGTTTCAATAGGAACTTTTTAGTTGACAGCAGTGTTTTTGCACTTTTCAGCCCGTTATTTGTTATTTATGCGGGGTAATGAAGCTGTGAGTGCAGTGGTGGTTACACAAGTACTGTGTTGATGTACTTATACTTCAATATTTCTTTTTACTTTTACTACAGTTCAGAGGAAATTTTACAGTGTAAAATTAATTAACAGCCCATTCTGAGTTCGTATACAATTACAGATAACTTAGGCGGTTGAATAGATGGAGATGATACTCCCACTTTGTCATTAATGGGTAAAAATGTGCAAAAAACACACTGGTGGTCCCAGTAATGCATTCTTGTTTAGAGGCTTTTCAACCAGAGACAGAAGAAAGGCTAACTATAAGACATTAATCTTAAAAAAAATCTAATTTTAATAGCTCCACCATGAAAATGTGCATCAATGTTTTTCAAAAATAGATTGAACGTCATCTCAGACAGCTTCAACTCCTCCTTCCATCCTCATTACTCAAAGAAAACTTCCAATTGACAGCTTTTGCTGTCACTAATGATATAATGCAATCATCACATCTTTGTAATTAAACACTGATGTTTGTTCCGTCCAATACCAAACTTGCAATCTCAGTGACAAAGATAAGACAGAACAAGCTAATTAATGTGCATTAATGGCGCTGACAGCTGTTGCGTCTGCACTGCTTGAAGCAAAGAAAGGGTTGCTGTAGTTGTAACGCTGTCTGGCCTGAAAGCAGAGGATTTCTATCAGCCTCCATCAGCAGGGATGGAGACGAGGCTCTGATGAATGTCAAATTGCGCTCCTCTAACTCCCCCTTAGAGGAATGCTGACAATCACTTGTACTAACAAGTCAGGTAGTATCTCTGACGAAACACTCAGAAACATCTCCCTCGGGGGGTGATCTGTACTTGTCCTCTGTGTGAAGGATTGTGGGCTGTGAAGGAAGGAAGGGAGGGGGTGGGAGATGGAGCAGTATGGGGGAGAGGCAGTATAATAAGGCAACAAATGGGGATTAATGAGGGTGAATAAGATAGGAAGCAGGGGGAGGAAGGAAAACAGGGAGGAGGGATGGAGGAACAGGGAGGATAATGAGTCGGATTGAAAAGCAGGCGGAAAAGCAGTTTTTGCCTCCGTACACAAAATGTGACAGTGTTGACAGCGAGCGGTAATCAATACAGCCCTGCTTTCAGAATAACACTGTATGTGTGCACGCAGGTCAGGTGAATCTGAAGGTCAGCGCAGAGGCCCTGAAGACCGACATACTGTGTGGCAACGAGGTGGCCACCGTCCCCGACATGGGCCGAATCGACACAGTGATCCGCACCCTGCTGGTGGAGGTCAGTGAACACATCACCAAACATCAGAATAGCTTGTCACAAAATACAATGTTAGACTGACACTTAGGCAGTATTGATCATTATTTCACTTTTGATACATTAAAGCTGCAGTATGTAACCTATATAAAAATAACTTCCTGACAGATTTGTGCTCCTAATGACAAGAATCCACCGGGCCTGAGCAAGAACAACCAATCAGAGCCGAGAAAGATATGATGACATTTTGGGTGGCAGAGTATCATTTCCAGGGTCTGTATTTGACGCCCTGGGAATGAGACTCAACATTGAACAATTTTTCTCGCCTCTGATTGTTTTGTTCTCATTCAGGTCCGGTATCTGTCTTATGTTCTATGTCAGGATATAGTGAAATTTTCAGAAAATACGACAAAAGTTATTTTTATAAAAGTAACCTACTGCAGCTTTAATTAGTTTTATAACAAATGACAACATTGACTAAAAACTCACAGTGATTGTTTTCACTTTTCTTGGCATTTGAGAATTTGTAATCCAAATATAAAAAAATATTAAAAAGTAAAAACTTTACAGAGATTTTCAGAATTATAAATAAAAGAATATAAATATATACAAGTAAAAGAAGAAAGAAAAAAATAATTTTATATATACATGAGAAAATATGTTCCAAGCGTACACTAAAATATTCCTAGTGTAAAGTAAAACATTATTTATATAACACTTAGAAAAACAACACAGTTACAAAGTGCTTTACACACACACATGAAAAATATAAATGAAAAAGTAAAATAAATAAACTACAGTATAAAACACAGCACAATGAGAAATATATGGAACTAAAAAATGGACCAAAACAAATGACGGGGATGCAGATCTGAGTGAGTGGGTAAGACTCCAGAGGATCGGGGCTGAAGCAGCGAAGGTGGAGATCCCGGATGAAAGGCCAAGATTTGAGGAATGGAGTGGAATGAGGGGATCATAAATGTAACTGTGGACAAGGTCATGCACTGCTTTTATATTATATGTAATCAGCGAGGTCTTGTTGCATCCCTCCATTCTAGTAAATATCCTGGTCACTTATCTGTGTTTAATAAGGACATTTATACTATTTTGTTTCTGTGAAAAATGTGAAAGTAACCGTTAACATACAGTAAACACACCCTTACTGTGTTTGAACTTGTGTTTTCCCCCTGGTTGCCTGGTCTGTTGTGTTACTTGTTTAGAATTATTTTGCAGCCTATGTTATACCCAAAGCAATAGAATTAAGTTCTAAATAAATGAATCAGAAAAGTTCCATATTTTAAGTAAAAATGCCCACATGCTGACAAAAAGGAATCCGAAAGAATGTGCACAAGGTGGCAAAATGTGAATTATAAACCATCGTCGGCAGAACCTTTATGACCATGTGTGTTTTTTTTTTTTTTGGTTTTTTTTTTTGCATCTGAAAAAAAAATCTCCTTTTGTCAAATGTATCAGCTCGTTATTATTGGCTGACAGTCATCTATAAACCCTCTCTGTGGCACATTTGTCCCTGCTGACCTAGACTCCTTTTTATAGTTTCTTTTTAAAAACAGAGTCAGTGATGTCCTTCTACAGCTGGCCACCGTAGTTACTCAAACAGGAGGAAATAGTTTGTTTCGACGGTGGATTAATCCACATTTGGTGTTTTAGCAGTGTTTTGGCAGACAGAGGTGTGTGTGTGGTGTGTGGTGTGGTGTGCCTGTTGTGTGGGTGTGTGGTGTGTGTGTGTGTGTGTTGTGTGTGTGTGTGGTGATGTGTGTGTGTGTGTGTGTGTGTGTGTGTTCATGATAATGAAGGAACATGTAACCCAGTGCAACTGTGGCTCACTGATGTGTTTTTAATAGGAACACCGGAGCTCCGTGGCACAGAGAAATAATTTATATCAGGCTTTAGATACACACCCAATACTTAGTTAGTAGGACTTGTTACATTGCCTTTTAATTAACCAATTTCATTCACTAATATCACTCTCTCTGTGTCTCTCCACTAGGCTGAAGGAACACCACAGATGGTCAGTCATAATGCTCTCCTCTGCCCTGCAGGTGAGTGTTCACAAACAACCCGTGTATCAGCGTCTGTTAACTGAAAGCCTCAGGGTGAATGGCCATCTTGATCCTCTCAGTCAGAACCGAGTGAAAACTTGATAAACACTCTTTAACCGTCATAGAGACCTGTGTCTGGCCAGTAATAATCAATCATCCCTAACTGAACCTTTGTGTTTGTCAGATGGGAGATAAGTGTGAATGGATGGTTGTAGTAATTATCCACCATGTCAGAACAGACGCTGTCATTTGGTTGTAAAAATGTAATGATATTTTTTATTGTTTTGGCCCATGTCCAATCCGCTAACATGGAAGGGGTGGGGTTTATGACCTATACTGCAGCCAGCCACCAGGGGGCCATCCAGATGTTTTGGCTTCATTTTTGCAGAGCTGTTATGTCATCCATTTATTCATGGATTCATGCATTCAACAGGAAAAAAAACATCACTTTGTTATTGTTTAAATCATACATCACCAGAAAACCCTTAGCTTGGACAGGACACGGCTAGCCTGGTTGTGTCCAACAGTATAAAATCCACCTACTCTTACCTCTGAAGCTCATTGATGAACATTAATGAACATAATTTGTACAAAAACAGAAGTTTGGTTTTACGAGTGGTTACGTATATGCTAAGCTAATCAGCTGCTAGCTGTAGCTTCATATTTACTGTACAGACATGAGAGTGGTATCTATCTTCTCATCTAGCTGTCAG